AACGTTATATTCTGTCTTGACGTTAAAACCTGCTTTTGTGTGCTTTAAACAGTTACATTCTTCTTGACGTTAAAACTAACTTGTGTGCGTTTAAACGTTATATTTTTGTCTTGGACGTTAAACTAACTTTGGTGTGCGTTTAAACGTTATATTCTGTCTTGAACGTTAAACCTAACTTTGTGGGTGCGTTAAACGTTAATATTCTGGTCTTGACGTTAAACCTAACTTTGTGTGCGTTTAAACGTTATATTCTGTCTTGACGTTAAACCTAACTTTGTGTGCGTTTAAACGTTATATTCTGTCTTGACGTTTCCTGACTCTGTGTGTTAAACGTTATATTCTGTCTTGACGTTAACCTAACTTTGTGTGTGTTTAACGTTATTATTCTGTCTTGACGTAACCTAACTCTGTGTGTGTTTAAACGTTTATATTCTGTCTTGAGTTAACCTAACTTTGTGTGCGTTTAAACGTTATATTCTGTCTTGACGTTAAACCTAACTTTGTGTGCGTTTAAACGTATATTCTGTCTTGCGTAACCTAACTTTGTGTGCGTTTAAACGTTATATTCTGTCTTGACGTTAAACCTAACTTTGTGTGTGTTTAAACGTTATATTCTGTCTTGACGTTAAACCTAACTTTGTGTGCGTTTAAACGTTATATTTCTGTCCTTGACGTTAAACCTGACTCTGTGTGTGTTTAGACTTTTGTCTTGACGTTAAACCTGACTCGTTGTGTGTGTTTAAACGTTTATATTCTGTCTTGACGTTAAACCTGACTCTGTGTGCGTTTTAAACCGTTATGATTCACTGTCTTGACGTTAAACCTGCCCTTCGTGTGCCGTTTGTAAACGTTATATTCACGTTTTACCTGCACGTGCGTGTGTGTGAGTTTGCGTGCCTCTACCTGAGATCTTACTTCACTCCAACGATTTATAGATATTCACAACATGCAAATCACTGATTGTGCAACAGTGCGCGCGTCGATGTTAGATATTCACCGCATATCTGTCATTGATTGTGCAACATTGTGCTGTGGATTGCAATCTCTCGCCTGGAAAATTCTAGTTTTATGAGAGAAGCTCAGTTTCACATTCATTAAATACGACTTATATTTCTAAATTGTAACATACTTTTAAATGATATTTTTCATATCATATTTACGACTTATGTTTCTAAATTTTTATTCATACTTTTGACTAATATAATTTTCTGATATATTTTTCATGTCATATATACGACTTATATTTCTAAATTGTATCATACTTTTAACTGATATTTTTCATATTATATTTACGACTTCATATTTCTAAAGTGTATCATACTTTTGACTAATATATTTTCATATCATATATACGACTTATTATTTCTTATATTTATATTTCTAAATTGTATCATACTTTTAAATGATATTTTTCATATTATATTTACGACTTATGTTTCTAAATTTTATCATACTTTTGACTAATATAGTTTTCTGATATATTTTTCATGTCATATATACGACTTATATTTCTAAATTGTATCATACTTTTGACTGATATATTTTCATTCATGTATACGACTTATTTTCTAAATTGTATCATACTTTTGACTTGATATTTTTCAATTCATATACTACGACTTATATTTCTATATATATTTTTCTGATATATTTTTCACATCATGGTATAATATAAATTGTATAATACTTTTGACTGATATATTTTTCACATCATAAATACGACTTATATTTCTAAATTGTATCATACTTTTGACTGATAATTTTTTCATATTATATTTACGACTTGTATTTCTAAACTGTATCATACTTTTGACTGATATATTTTTCATATTATATTTTTAGACTTGTATAAAATTGTTCATACTTTGACTGATACTATTTTTCCGATTATTTTTCACATCATAATACGACTTCAATTTCTAAATTGTATCATACTTTTAAATGATATTTTTCATATATATTACGACTTATTTCAAATTATATGCATACTTTTGACTAATAAATTTTTTCGATATCATATATGACGACTTATAATTTCTTAATATTTATTTTTCTAAATGTATCATATCTTTTAACTGATATTTTTCATATTATATATTTACGATTATATTTTCTAAATTGTATCATACTTTGACTGATATAGTTTTTCACATCATAAAATACGACTTCAATTTCTAAATTGTATAAATACTTTTAACTGATATTTTTCAGATTATATTTTACGACTTAATATTTCTAAATTGTATCATACTTTTGACTGATATAACAATTGAAATCATACATGTAGTTGTGTTTGATGAATGTTAAAACAGGATAAATACATATTTGCCAAATCTGAAGCATACACCCAGCACACACAATCCAAACACACACACACACACACACACCACCACAGCACACACACACACACACACACACACACAGCAACACACACACACACACACAATTCAGTGTGTGGTGTGTGTGTGTGTGTGTGGCGTGTGTGTATGTGTGTGGTGTGTGTGTGTGTGTGTCGAGTATTTTGTGTGTGTAGGTGTGTGTGGTGTGTGTGTGTGTGTGTGTGTGTGTGGTGTGTGTTGTGTGTGTGTGGTGTGTGTGGAGTGTGTGTGTGTGTGTGTAGTTGTGCGGTATGTTGTCGGTGTAGTGTGGTGAGAGAGAGCAGAGAGAGAGAGAGAAGAGAGAGAGAGAGAGAAGAGAGAGAGAGAGAGAGAGAAGAGAGAGAGAGAGTGAGAGAGAGAGTGAGAGAGAGAGTGAGAGATTGAGAGTGAGAGAGTGAGAGAAGGGAGCAGGGGTAAGAGAGAGGAGAGAGAGGAGAGAGAGGAGAGAGAGAGAAAAGAGAGGGAAGGGAGAGAAGAAGGGGAAAGGAGATAGTAGATAGAGAGTAGAGGGCAATGAGACAGAGAGAAGGAGAGGAGAGGAGAGAGAAGAGGGGAGGGGGGATGAGGGAGGGGTGAGAGATGAGAAGGTGATAAGGTAAGGAACGGGAGTAGGCATTTGAGAAGGAGAGAAGTAGGAGAGGGGAAGAGAGAAGGGAGAAGGGTTAGAAAAGGGATGTATAAGGGGAAGAGGGATGAGGAGAGAGGGAGGGAAGAGAGAAGGAGGAGAGGGAGAGAGGAGAGAAAGGAGGAGGAAGAGAGAGAGAGACAAGAGTATGAGAGAGAGAAGGAGAGTAGGAGTTGGAAAGGATAGAGAGCGAGAGAGAGGGAAGAGAGGAGATGAGGACAGGAAGAAGAGAGAGGGAGAGGAAGGAGAGAGAGCCAGAGGAGAGGAAAAGAGGGAGAAGCACGAGAGAGGACTAAGGAAGGGGAGAGGAGAGAAGAGAGAGAAGAGAGAGAGAGAAAGAGAGGAGAGAGGAGAGAGAGAGGAGAGGGAGAGGTCACGATAGAAGGATGAAAAACGAGAGAAGAAGGAGAAAGACGGCTAGGGCGAGAGGGACAAGGAAGAGGAGAAATAGGGAAGAGAGAGGAGAGAGAGGAGAGAGAGAGAGTAGAGAGAGGATGAGGAGGGCAATGTAGAGAGAGGAGGAGAGGGACTGGAAAAGCAAAAGCAGACAGGCAAAGCACACAGAGGGCGCAGAGAGAGACACCACACGGCACGAGGAGTGAGAAGAAGACAGAGGAAGCAGGAGGTAGAGAGAGAAGAGACAGAAGAGAGAAGGAGCGACAAGACAAACAGGGCAAGAAGAAGTATAGAGCAGACTAAAGGAAGGGGATGGAGAGGTGAGAAGAATGGAGGAGAAGAAGATGAGAGAGAGGAGAAAGAGGAGACGGATAGATATATATAGAGATGATATGAAGCAGTATAGAGAATATAAGAGAGGTATACCAGTAAGAGAGAGATCGCATGAAAGAGAGCGAGAGTAATATGAATGTAGAGTAATATAGAGTGTTGAATATAAGTAAAGGTCAAGATAGAAGTAATATAAGTGCAAGAGAGGAGAGAGAGAGGAGAGTAAGTATAGAGAGAGATTGATTTTTGTTATTTGAAGAGTGTAGTAGATTGATGTAGAGAGGCATGACAAATCGACTAGAATTAATTTTGCAATGGCATTCCGTAAGACTCTGTTTTATGCTTCTCATTCTTTTGTTTTTTTCTTTCTTTCTTTGAATGCAAATGTAGTCGCAAGATAGAATCAAACAGTATGTCTTTGATTATTGTGGCTATTTCTCTTTGATATAATGGAACTGAAATAAAAACAGAGGAATGGTTCTCTCTGTCTCTCTCCTCTCTCCTCTCTCTCTCTCTCTTCTCCTCTCTCTCTTCTCTCTCTTCTCTCTTCTCTCTCTCTCTCTCTCTCTCTCTCTCTCTCTCTCTCTCTCTCTCTCTCTCTCTCTCTCTCTCTCTCTCTCTCTCTCTCCTCTCTCTCTCTCTCTCTCTCTCTCTCTCTCTCTCTCTCTCTCTCTCTCCTCTCTCAAATATAATAAATAGATAGATAAATGAATACATAAATGAATAGATTAATAAATGAATAATGTATAGATAGATATATATAGACAGATAAAAATAATCAGTGCTTCTCAGCAATAGAGAGCAAAGGAAGATTAATACAGTTATCATTAAAATTTACCTAGTTTTGGTATAAAATTAAAATTATCATTATTGCGGTAACAGCGGCAAAATCGAATGATTATTGATTAGCAGAAAACAGTTTTGTTTTCGACATGTATTGACGTACCTTTAATGAAACTATAAGCTATTTGGGTTATATAGAGACCTAAAGTTATCGAAATTTGATACCCCGATTGTATTTTAAACGTGAAAAAATAACAAGGTTTTGCGGGTATTGATTTTCATTTGTTTAATCCGGATTATTTGCATCGAGCGCAACATACAAAGTCTTTTAAAACTCTGGCAAATACACTTATATCTGCAATAAAACGCAGTTAAAAAGTTTAAGACTTTAATAAAAACATATTATATATTTAATGGCACCTTCTTGATCAATCAAAATGCAAAATAGATCCCGAATGGAGTGATTGCATTTTCAGAAAGTGTTGGAA